TAGAATGGCTCTAATTTTTTTTTTTTTTGAGACAGAGCCTCAAGCTGTCCCCCTGGGCAGAGTGCCGTGGCATTGAATGGCTCTAATTTTAAAAAAAAAGATAAAAAGCAAAGATGTGAAGCAATTCGAACTCTTCTGCATTGCTGATATGAATGTAAAATGGTGCCCATTTTGGAAAACAGTTTGACAACCCCTCAAAGTGCTAGAGTTACCATATGCTCCAAAAATTCCATTCCTAGGTATACACCCAACCGAAAAGAAAATATATGTTCATAAAACAATTTGTTACAAGAATGTTCAGAGGAACATTATTTCTAAGAACAAAGAAGTAGAAACAACCTAAGTATCCTTCAACTTAGGATAGGAACAACCTAAGTATCCTTCAAACTTTTGTTTGCATAAACAAAATATTACATATATTCATACAACTGAATATTACTCAACCATGAAATGAAGTACTAATACATGCTAAAACATGAATGAACCTCAAAAACATGCTAAGTGAAAGAAGGAAGACATATAGTATGGCTCCATTTATTTGTAATGTCCAGAATAGGCAACTCCACAGTGGCAGAATGTAGATTAGTGGTTGTGCAGGGAGCAAGGGAGAGGAGAATGAGAAATAACTGCTAATCAACATGGGGTTTCTTCTGGGAGGTGCTGAAAATGTTCTGGAATTAGTTAGTGGTGATGGCTGCAAAAACTTGTGAATATACTAGAAATCACTGAATTATATGCATTAAATTAGCAAGTTCTTTTTTGTTGTTGTTGCAGTTTTTGGCCAGGGCTGTGTTTGAACCCACCACCTCCAGCATATGGGGCCAGAACCCTACTCCTTGAGCCACAGGCGCCGCCCTAAAATAGCCAGTTTTATAATATGTAAATTATCTCTCAACTAAAAATTAACATTAAAAAAAGATGTCCAAGAAAGGTAGGATCGAAGTAGAATTATAATTTGGGTTTAGAAGGGACAGTGTGAAAAGGCATCTCATATTCAGGCCCCGATACTACTAAGCTACATGATCTTTGGTAAGTAACCTGAGAGGAGGCAAGTGGCAGAGAAAAGAAGGGAGGGTAATGATTGCATATATTTTATTACTTGTCAAATCTCTGATTTGATAAACTGTCACCAAGATCTGAGTAGACTCCTGTGTTGTCAATCTACTACGTTGTTTAGTTGGTGAGTGCTATCATTAGGGATCTTCACTACACGTTTATTAAGAAGGGGCTTGTGACACAACTGGCAACTTGCATTGATATTCTTTCCTTGTTCTGATAATAACAGTTACTCTTTAATGGAAATGTATTATGTGCAAGGTGTTTTAAATATAGAATTTCTAATTTCAAATACATCACTTCTAATCTTTATTAAAAAAGAAAAACCTGCAGAGACTTAGCTTGAGGTAGATTAGATTAGATGACTTGCTCAAGGCTAACAAGGCTATAGACATACCAGAATTAAGGGTTTTGATATTCTCATCTATGTTCATTTATACTACTATGATGCCTCCTAAGTAAAGTTACCAAAGAAAATACAAGATGCTCTGTTAACTTTGTATTTCAGATAAACCATGAATAATTTTGTTAGCATAAATATGTCCCATTAAACATTTGGGACATACTTAACACAGAAAAAAATCATTTAATTTTTGAGACACTCTGATACTAAAAAATTATTCATAGTTTATCTGAAATTCCACTTTAACTGGGCAAATAATATTTTTATTTGGTAATTCTGGCATTCCTATTTCCAAAGCTGTGTTGTTTGTGAACCAAACTTGTGTCCACTCACCAGGTGCAATAAGGCCAGACATGGAGGCCAAGAGTTGCAGTGGCAGAGACCTTTTTGTTTGCAGGGTTCCATACAAGGAGAGCAACGAGTTAACACTTAAAACACCAGGTGTCATCAATCCACGAATGGATCAATAAATTGTGGTATATGTACACCATGG